TTTGGTTTTTTGGTTCCCCCCCCCCCCCCCCCCCCCGCGCGCGCGCGCGCACGCACACTGTAAAACTGATTTCAAATTGATAGAGAGCAGTGTGTACAGACTTGGGAGGCATTTGTCTTCTATCAGGCTTTGAATGAAAACCAGAGCCTTTCACGTAAATTCACACTGGCTGCCTTTTGTGAAAAGGGGGGCCCAAGACAGACACTGGCTGATTTTTCAGGTCTCTTTTGTTAGCCAAATCCTGGGCTCCAGTTGACCTGGTGGTGTGAGGAAACTCCTACAGGAAAGGTGTGTCTTTTATGCAGCAGTGGGTTTTCGAAAGCTGGTTGACTACATAGTCCTTCAGCAGAACTTCCCGGAATACCCGGGACACAACACCACTTCCTTAGGTACCCTCATGGCCCCATGAGCATGTGTCTGTTGTAGTGCTTGATAACTTATGCCTGACAAGCTGTCCACAAGTCTACGTAAGAATGGAAAGGGTGTCATCTGCCATGTTTCCCAAGGTTCGAACAGAGTTCCCAGCACACCACGAACCCAACTTTGCTTCTCTGGTATGTTTCCATATGGGTGTCTGCTCACTCCACCTTGAACTTACCACAGTTAGAACTGCTGAGCGTTTGTTGTTTGCCCCAAAGTGATAGTTTTTCTTCCCATCTAGAAGAAATACAGGTGTTGCTCCATTTTGGTGCCTGGGAAGCTTATACTTCCGTCAGTGCACTTGCTTTGTGTTTTTGTTCTCTAAGTTTCCATTAAGAGTGATTGTCAGGCTCATGCTGACCACACTCCCTCTGTGTGTGGTCAGGGAGTCCTTGGCTTGTTTATCATGTGGGACTAGTGGGTGTTGATGAAGAGAGATGGATGGAGCAGCTCCTGAGAGCTTGTGCCCTCCTGAGGCCTGGGCAGGCAGCTTTGCTTTGGAGAATGAGGTTCTACTTGCTTGGCCGTCTGCCCATCTCTTGTAGCCTGTGCTCTGAGCTCCCAGACACCTGTGTCCAGCCGCATGTATAGCTTGTACTTTCAAGACTGTGAACTTGGTGTTGAAAAATGGAGCAAGGCGTTTAAAGTGATGCTCCCGAGCGTGAGAGGATGAGGAGAGATGAACCCGGGCATAAGTGGCCCGATCCCATCAGAGCACTCTTGCCTGGGTTAACGGGCTTAGCGTCAGATCTTGCTTTTCAGGAAGGGTTCTCTAGTCAATTGGAAGCTACTGCTGCAGAAGAGCCTGGAGAGTGCAGCAGATGCGTTGACTGAACCCTGTACTTCCCTGTTTTCAGAGAAAAACTCTCCCGTGCCATGGGAAAAGAGTTGAAAACACTCACAGGCTGGGGCTGTAGGTAATTTCTTGCCCATCATGCATGAGGCCCTGCATGCAATCCCTGGTACCAACTGAAGCAGGTATGGTGGCGCATGCCTCTAATCCCAGCACTTGGGAGGCAGGAGGATCAATCCTTGGCTACGGTGAATTTGAGGCCAGCCTGGGCTAGAGACCTGTCTCAACAACAAAAAGCTGTACACAACAGATGGACCAGCCCTCAAAGCAGTTCCCGTACAACTAGATAGGATACCAGACTTGCTGAACTATTTCAGGTCTGCCTGAGAGGACAGCTGTCGTCCCAGATTGGGTTGGCACAGCACTGCATACAAAACTCCAGTGTTATCTGTTGCAGCTTAGACTGGGGACTGCAGCCAGGGACCTGCCCTAGTCAGAACCCGAGGTCGTTCCTGACCCTCTCACCTGGGCTCTGTCTTTTCTTTTTAAGAACAAAACAAAAAACCAACTTCATTTATTATTGCTATATATATGCACGATGTGTTCTGGATTGAGCTCAGGTCTCCAGGGTGCTATGGAAAGTGCTTTGCCTGCATTGCTAGCCTGCTCCCACCTCTTCTTTGTCACTTTGTATCTTAAAGCACAAGTGTGTGTGCTCTTCGGCCAGGGCTGCCACCTCTTCCTGTCTTTCTGTATTGGGTGACTGAGTTTACAGTCCAGAGTAAATGGATATCAACTCCTGTGTGTGTATCAACCACAGGGATGCATAAAACTACCGGCCGTCAGGTATGTGACATCACCCGTATTTGCTGAATGCTGCCCTGTGGGAGAAGAAGGTAACTGATGGGGGTCCAGCCCTGGGAGGCAGGCATCATCCTGTCCACAGGCCAGCGTAGGCATTGGAGAAGATTGCAGTTTTTCTAATTCTGTCTGCCATGTTCACCACTCTGTAATGGTAGGACCTGGAAGAATGGAGCCTAAAAATGAGGCGGACTAAAGTCTCATCAATAGCCAACTTTATCCAGAGCATCAGACAATTTATACTCTGGGGATTAAGAAAAACCACATGAGTAAGTTCTCGTGAGTTCAAGGACAAGCTGCACATAGCAAAAACATGTTTTTCCATAGAAGCATATAAACAAATACCAATAGCCAGTTGTGATGAATAATCGGAAGTAAACTCTCTCCTATCTGCTACACTTGGGAGGAGCACAAAAACATATTCTAAGGACAATTCCTTGTTTTGAAGAAACTGAGCTCCCAAGACGCTTGTCTTATTTTCTTGGCATTTTCTCACAAGCATTCAGAATTATTCTCACACTACACCATTCTCGGACCGTATCCGACACTGCCTGTCACTGGTGGAGTCAGAGTCTGACCTAGGTTTATCTGAATGTACCTGTGTGGTGTCGTGACACAGCAGGTACACTACTCTGAGCAGAACTGGGGCAGTGAAAATGCCAGAGAGCACCATGGTGGTAAGAAAGGACACACGGCACCTGCTGTGGGTTGAAGGAGACTAAAGAAACATGGACATAGCTGGGTGGTGGTGGCGCACACCTTTAGTCCCAGCACTGGGGAGGCAGAGGCAGGTGGATCTCTGTGAGTTTGAGGCCAGCCTGGTCTACAAAGTGAGTTCCAGGACAGCTGGGACTGTTACACAGAGAAACCCTGTCTCGAAAAACAAACGAAGAAGAGAGGAGGAGGAGGAGGGAAAGAAGGAAGGAAGGAAGGAAGGAAGGAAGGAAGGAAGGAACATGGATGTTTATAATGTTTTAAGTTTTAGAAACATCGTGAATCTATAGTATTACTCAAGAATAGTTAGAAGCAGATATGCTGTAGGAATGGTAGAAATTTAAAAAGAACCTTTTAGTGACCCCGCTCATTCTAACTGACAAGCAGAGATCATTGACAGAGCTCAGGTCCCTGAGTGAAAGAATGACGGGGGCCACGTGCTGTGTGATTTCTAGGTCTCACCTCATAGCTGGCCATTTCCAGGGAAAGTGTACTTGTGTTCTGGCATGGCGAGTGACACACCTGCCCCACACTGCCACACCTGACTCCATTCTCCACCGAACAGCCATTCAGAGGGCTCAGCACCAAACACATGGTAACAGGACACAGGCAGATGTCGTGCTAGCCACAGGTCTGCAAGACACCTTAGCAGGGTGCTGCCAGACTTCAGTTCATCTTGGTGTGGGCCACTAGAAGTCGGACGCCCTCTCTGTGGATCTCCTGGTCCCTGGTGATGAGAGACCGCCTGAAGGCCCTGCACAGATCCTTCACCCCAACCCAGTCACCATCACCTGTTAGATGGTATCTTTCTGTCTTGACTTGACCAGGAGCAGATGAGGATGTGTGGTCTCTGTGTCTCCTACTTAGGGAAGTGTTGCCACACCTACCAGCATCATTTCCTGCCTTCAGGCCAACCCACAACCCTTCCAGCTTTCAGTCGCCCATGTTCTGACTTCCCAGAGGACTGTGTATCTTTTCCTAAGAAATGAGTTATGGCTGTCCCGATGGTCAGCATTCCCTACCATCCGGCACCGGCTGCCGTCATCCCCTACTGGAGTTCCACCTCTGCCCTCAATCCTCAGAGCTTGCCTGTCTGTTTTTCCCACAGGTTCCAGCATGAATGGCCTGGAAGAGCCCAGCATCGCCAAGAGGCTGCGGGGCACCCCTGAGAGGATCGAGCTGGAGAACTACCGCCGATCTGTGAGGCAGGTCGAGGAGCTGGAGGAGGTGCCTGAGGAGACACAGGCCGAGCATAACCTGAGCAGCGTGTTAGACAAGGGCACCGAAGAGGATGTGGCCAGCAGGTCAGCCCATGCCCATGGTTTGCCTGGCTACCGGGTCCCTGGGGCAGTGACCTTACTGGGTCCCCGGATTTGGCTGGCAGCAAAAGAGCTTGATGATCGAGGGAATTTGAACCATTTTTATTGGGTTAGAATCTTGGTTCTTCTGCTTCTCAGCTGTGAGGTAGGCAAGTCCCTTGGTTTCCTCATCTACAACGTAATTCCACTAGTTAGTGTCTTCCTCATATCAGTGTGAAGGTTAAGGAATAGATAGGAACACCGTGTTTAAAACGCTCCTTAGCATGTCTAAGCATTTGGAGTTTCCTCTGTGTGCTGCTGACCATGTGTGTGCTCATGAAAGTCCTAGAAATAAGTGTGCGCCATGTGTTTTGTCCCCCATAGGGGAGGAAACTGATGGTAAGTAGGACAGGACCTGAAATTCCAACTCAGACTTCCTGTTTTCCCTGACACCCTGTGATTCATTCTCCCTACACCATCAAGGTCCCTGCCTCTAAATCACGGTCAGCCATCATTGCCATGTGACCCTGCAAGTCCAGAGCAATATGGGCAGCCTTCACTAGATGGAGCAGGGCTGGAAAGGGTCGCAATCTGTAAGATTTCCTGAGTGCAGCCCACTTCCCTAGCACTTTGTGACTCATGGGAAAGGTAAATCAACTTGTGATCTACCCGTTGTTGCTTACAACCCCCTATGGGAGGGGAAGACCATCACAGGAAGGAAGCAAGTTGCAAACAGCATGTCTCCACGAGGCCGGTGCTTCCACAGAAGATAGCAGGTGTGAAGTAGAGATGACTTGGCCACTGGTTACTCTGAGGGAAGCCACCTCACCTCTCTGGGGCTCCAAGGGTCTCTATGGTTAAAGAGGGGCAGAGACCTTACATGCCTGCATGCCAGGGGCCGCACACAGGAGGCGTCTGGCTTCTCCAATCAGTGTCTCTGTTTAGCTGACCAGTGTCTTCGAGGACCAGGTCCTAAAACTGTTAGGTCCTGTGTGTATAGAATGGGAGGAGGGGCGAGGTGTTAGGCCAGCCCAACTTGTTTGTACCACAGGACCTTATGACCATATCCAAGGCTCGAGTACTAGCCTGTGGACTTCAGAACCTCAGCAGAAGCCAGAGCACTAAATGGTCATGTGGTCCACTGAGTTTCCCAGCTTTTGTTTGGCTGCACTTTCAAGAGAGATCCTTGTCTTAATTCTCTTTTGGGGTGCTTTAATGCAGGCAATGAGGGACCTGAGGTTCAGTGAAGTTAACTGCGTCCTCTTACCCAGCAGTTGTGCCTGTATGTGCCTGGGCTCTCGAGGCCCAGAGTTTCTCGTGTCAGTAGAGGCAGGTGTGGGAGAGGACAGGATGACAAAGAGGGCCAGAGTCCACACAAGCCAGACTCTCTCACAGGACTCCCTGCCAGAGCTGAGACTCCAGACCAAGAACTTTGACTCAGAGGTGATATGCAGATGTCTGGTGATAGAGAAGGTTGCCTTGCTCCGCCAGAGAGGATTGCTGCGTTGTAGTGGGATGCTCTAGTAGTGACAGTTACTGCTGACACTAACTTGGTGACCAGCGGGTGCCTTGGCATTTATTTATGTAATTGTTCATGATAGACTCATGACACACAGCGGCCTTTTCAGATGGGGAAACTGAGGCACACAGCATAAGTGATTTGCCTACGGTCAGTGGGTGCTAGAGCTGGACTTAAGTATAGCTCTGATTCCATAGCCATGCTCTAAAAGATCACACCACTCCGTCCAACAGAGATGGCCAAGCCAAGTTCTCTGAACTGGGGAGAGAACAAGCTTCTGAGCAGGACTGGGAAATTCACTCACACACTCGCTCACTCACTCTTCCTTCCTTCCTTTCTTAAGTCAAGGTCTTGTAACACAGGCTGGCCTTGCATGGCTGGAAGTCTGATTCCCTTCTGTCTTGGTTAGGCAAGACCCACTGTAAGAGTGGCTGTGCAGAAGGGTGGTGACATGGCTAAGGCAGTGAGTCCAGAGGGAATGCCTGGAAATGGAGAAATGCTGACAAACCAAGTGCCCTGTGCTTCAGGGATTGAACCCATGGCTCGTGCATGCATGCTAGGCACACACTCTACCAAATTATACACCCAGTTTTTTTGTTTTTTTTTTAAACCTTCTTATTTTTAGTTAGGGTCTCACTCTATTGCCTAGGCCATTTAAATTCACTATGTAACCCACGAAAGCCTTGAACCTGTTACTCTCCTATTTCAGCCTCCCACCCATTTCCCAGGCCCAGCTGGGAAGGTGATGGTTAGCCATCCTGGTCCCCATCTCTCTTAGGAGACGGTATCAGGGTCCACGCTGCTGAGGATTCTCCAGTCTCAAGAGGCGAGGACCTGATGTTCAGATGCCTGGGTCAACAGGGGGATCTAAAGTGAGCCTCGAGTCTGAGGTGTAGCTCAATGGTACAGTGCTTGCTGGGCATACATGAGGTCCTAGATTTACGCTTTGACTGTTACATGTTGTAAGAGCTGGGCCCTCGGGTCCTATGATAGCTGGAAGGAAACTTCTACCTGCTCCTGTGGGTTTCTCAATGTCCTCCCTGCAATTAGGGAGGCTGCTTTGCAGGAGCAAATAGAAATGCCTCTTGCAAATGCTTATGCATACAGCTGGTAGAGGGACGTGGGGGCTGACCTTTCCACTCCCGTTGTCACACTCTCACAACCCCTAAGCTGTCATAAAACTAGCTAGAGTGGCACTAATAGCCATCATGGGGTGTCATTGTCATCATCACAGAGAAATGTATTCATCATCCAAATTATGCCTGGTACAGCCATGGGTGACGTCAGGCTGCACTCAGGCCCTGGGAAGCCAGGCACTGCCCCTCCCACCCCCTAGAGAAGCCACGGGGCACACTGAGCCATGGTGGAGGGGCAGAAAATTTAAGATGAGTGAAGCAGTCTATCTGTCCTTGCTTACAGAAATGAGTGGTGAATGGCACTCACAGCACACTTTATTAACAAGGAAGTAAACTGGTGAAAAGTCGTAAGTGGAGAAACACGAGGCAGTAAAAATAACGGTGGGAAGTGTTTAGAGCTCAGGTGCCACACTTTCCATCACTTATTTTTCCCTCTTGTAGTTTGTTCACTTTCTTGGTTCCTGTGTGTGTGAGCAAGCGCATGCGTGTGATGGACTCACACCATAGTCCTGACTGGCCTGGAACATGTGTAAACCAGGCTAGCCTCAAACATACAGGGACCCTCATCTCTGCCTCCCAAGTTCTGGCATTACAGGCAAGCATCACCACACCTGGCCAGATGTTTACACTTTAAACCACCTCCTCCCAGATCTCTGCCACACCAGCCCCCAACACACGCCTTACGACATGCCTGGGCATTCCTGGGTCACCTTTGCCATCCCCAGTCGTCAGTGAGTTTGCCACAAGATGACTCAGCCTACATTAGCCGAGTGAGTGTGTCCATTGGCTGAGTTGTAGCAGGTCTCAGAATGGTCTTTCGGCATGTATGGTGGTACACACCTATAACCCCATCCCTCAAGAGGACTGGGGACTTGGGCCAGCCTGGGCTACGTAACGGGACCCTGTCTCAAGAGAAAAAAAGAACTGATGAATAAATGAGTGAATGATTATGGAAGTGAATAAACAGTGAATAAAAGATGGTGACTGTCGGCCGGGCGTTGGTGGCGCACGCCTTTAATCTCAGCACTCAGGAGGCAAAGGCAGGCAGATCTCTGTGAGTTCTAGGCCAGCCTGGTCTCCAGAGCGAGTGCCAGGATAGGCTCCAAAGCTACACAGAGAAACCCCCGTCTGAGATCCCTAACCCTCACCACATGCCTGTCAGGCAGGCATCACATGGCCTTCCTGCTGAGGGCCACAGCTCCATAAAGCTCAGCCACTTGAGAGGGACTCAGAACTTTCTGGACGATGTCATGCTCATGGCTAGGGCCTATTGCAATGGGAGGAAGGACCATTAATGGCCAACTTGGTAGAACAGAGGCAGGGTGGAGGGGTGTACACAGCCTGCAATAGCGATGTCAGCACCATGTCCCTGTGAGGAGTTAGCCAGCATACAAGACAGGATGCGCCCTCATTTCTGCCCCACCTCACCAGTACAGGAGTTTACCAGTGAGGCTCAGCTGCATGGGAGGGACTCAGAATTTGCTGGAAGCTGCCGTGCTCATGGCTAGGGCCTGTTACAGTGTGGGAGAGATGCAGAGGGTTAGGACTCCGCATCATGGAAAGACTTTCTCATGGGAGAGTCCAGGAAACTACCAGACTCAGAGCTTCCATTGCCCTGCTCCTGTGGAGAAGGGGCAGCATTCCTGGCCTGCTTTCCACACATGATGTCACATTCACGCAGGCCTGGAACCTTGGAGTTTTTATTGGGACTCCAATTATGTACATAGTAATCTTTTGTAGTCCATGTGGTTGATCTAGCCTTCAGGTCAACCTAAAGCCCCCCATTTCCCTGAAATAAAAAGTGTTTGGCCTTCATAATTCGACTGGTCCCCATATTCAGACTGAGTGTGGCCAGGCGTCACCCTGGATCCCACTCCAGACAGCTCTTGAATGTGCCATGGCCAGCATTTCAGTGTGTGCTTTGACTCCCGTGTGCAAAGGGGCTATGGGAGCCAGCTCCCCTTCTCAGGAAGCTGAGACTCAATCGCCACCCCACTCCTCGTGCCTGTGGAGCTTGGGCCCAGAGCTCAGCCCTGTGCTTTGTCCTAAAGGCGTTTACTCCAGCCTTGTCCCGTGCATATCTCTGCTCCAGCAAAGCCACATATGACTGCATCCTGCATGTCATACAGCCTACCTTGGCAGGGCCTGAAGGAGAGCAGAGGTCAGATTTTTGTCTTTACGGAAGTTGTCAAAGCTGGCCTTGTGCTGTGAAGGAACAGATGAGAAGAACGGGGGCGACCCCAGGAGGTGGGGCCTTTTTTCTTCTCTTCTATTGTTTTTAAATATTTTTTTACATACTAATCCCAGTTCCCTCTCCCTCCCCTCCTCCTGCTCCCCCATCTTCCCTTCATCCCACCCCCCATTTGCTCCTCAGAGAGGGTAAAGTCAACTAAGTCTGTCCCAAATCACCACATTGAGACAGGACCAAGGCCCTACCCTCTGTGTCTAGTCTGAGCAAGGTATCCCTCCATAGGAAATGAGCTCCAAAGAGCCAGTTCATGCACTAGGAATAGATTCTGGTCCCACTGCCAGTGGCCCCACAGACTGCCCAAGCCAAGGTGGGGCCTTTTTTAGGGTTTCTGCTATACCTGTGCTGGGTGTGGGGGTGTGGGGCCTTTACTGCACTTCACCTTGAGCACAGAGAATTGGATCTGCTGCCTTGTCCTCAGCGCTCATGCACGCACACACACACACACACACACACACACATGCACGCACACACACACACACACACACACACACATGCACGCACACACACACACAGGCTTCTGCCTGCCAGCCTCTTGGGGCTTCTTCCGCATCTCTACCCACCCATGGCTGTCACTGGAATCAATTTGCATAGAGTCTAATTGAGTTCTCCAGCCAAACAATGGCCAGCAAGAACCTTCTCCCCATTTTGGGGTGCTGTGAGTAGCCACTGTGCCCCACGGGCCAGGTTGCCCCTCGGGTGGGTCTGCATAGATGACATGTGTGTCTGTCCTCCCTGGCCGGGGAAGGGTGGAGGCCTGACCCACTCCCCCCCCCCCCCCCCCCCCCCCCTGACTGTGGGTTTGAACCTTCCTTCTCATGCTGTGGTTACTTCCTCTCAGCAGTTCCGAGTCGGAGATGGAGGAGGAAGAGGAGGATGACGACGACGAGGATCAGCTCCCCACCTCTGACCTGGGCGGGGTTCCCTGGAAGGAGGCAGTAAGAATCCATGCCCTCCTGAAGGGAAGGAGTGAAGAGGAGCTAGAGGCCTCCAAGAACTTGGAGCCTGAGGAAGAGGAGGAGGAATATGAAGAGGAAGAGGAGGAGGAGGAGGAAGAGTATGATGAAGAGGAAGAGGAGTCCAGTGAAGGTCAGAAACATCTCCTTTAGTCCTGACCCCCTCCACCTCCCACCCCCTTGGCTGTGTTTCTGGTGTGAGTGTAGGAGGTTTGGACATGAGAGTCTGGGCGCCACCCTCAGGACCTGAGGTTTTCTGGTCCTCACTCCAGACCTTAGGTAGGATGCAGTGTCTGGCAGACTGAGAAAACTGTTCCTTGTCTACATTTTTAACTGGAAGTGGAAGGCAGGGCTCAGCCGAGGACTATGTCCAAATTAGGTTCTTTCATTTTTCACTTTCTCTCTTTTATTCCCTTCAGTTTCTTGTAGAGAACTTTATTTTAATAAGACGAAGAAGGTTAGCTCCTTCAAAGAGTCACCCATGGTGCTGGATAGCGGGCTGCTGCAATCTTAGATGCTCGATAAACTGGCTCCAGCCGCACAGGCAGTAGCCTTTGGGGCCTGAAGAATGTGTTCAGGTTTTTGCATCTGCAGCCATTCCAGTTGCTTCCACAACTCCTCTTGTATTAGGCTTGAGATTTTTCTGTCCAGCCCCCTGTCTGCCTGTGACCTAAAGACAGAAGGGACTTGGCTGTGTTGAGAATGTCACTCTTTCCCTGGTTGCAGAGGGCCTGCAGATGGTAAGAAAGGAGCCAAGATTGGTAGATTCCCCAAGGAGAGCCATGCTCACTTCCCAGGGGACACAGCGCCAAAGGAGGGACAAGCACTAGTTTTTCCAGCCATGCATCAGATCAGCATGGACAGGGAGCATTAGCTCTTGGTGGCAACCCTGCCTGCTATTGCCTGTGCTCAGGGTCGGTACACCAGGTCATGTTAGGCATCTTCCCTTGACAGCAGCGTCTCTTATCCTCCTGCACCCACTCCTCTGAAGGCCAAAGTGGAATCTAGGCAGACCCACTCAGTTTCATGAGACTTGAAGAAGGAACGTGCTAGGAAGAGACTAGACTAGCCAGAGCATGGTTTCTCTAGTGTGTCATGTCTGCAGCACCATGCTGGCCCAGAGTGTCCATGTGCTCACACTCATCAGAGTGAGTCCATCCTCTCACAGCTCCCACGGGGAAAGGTATTCCGTTGGAATCATTTTGAGGTGCCGTTTTCTCCATGTGACGATGAATACTTAGCAGCTTTTAGCCACCACAGAACTCCGGGAGAGCTGGCCCACCTTCCCTCCACGAATCTTCACTTCCCAGGCTGGGAAGTTCACTGTTCATTCAAGCCAAGCCCTGGTTGTTGCTTTGTCCCCAGCCCGCCTTGCCTCTTTGGGGCAGCACACCAGGATGCCTGTGTGGACAAGTGGCAGGATACTCTTGCAGGCAGCTGCGATAACTCTGCTCTCTGTTCTCTTTCCTGCCTCCATTCCCTTCACTTGTCCCCCTGTGGGATTCTTGGTGCTGTCTGTGGGTGTCTGGCTCCCCCTGCTGTAGAAGGGGAGTATTGCCCCTGGGACAGAGAACTCCTGCAAAGCCAGTGGCTCCAGCATCTCTCAAAGGAAGAAGAAATGGGTACATATGAAGGTACCCGCTTTGCCCCCTGCCCATCTCCACCCCGGCTCCCAAGCAGCCATCTAAAATGTACCTCCAAGAGCAGGTCCCACACGGAAAGGTTATTTTTATAAAGCTGCTTTCAAAGGCTTTGGGCACACCTAGCCTGGCACCTACCTCCGGCACAGCCTCCGCAGACAAGAGAGCAGAGTAGCACACAAGTCATCAGATTCCCAGGAGACAGGGGACAGGGCTTATGGAATGGAGCCCCACTGCTGTCCCTGGAGCTTTTGCTCTGAGTTCCCTTTATCCAGTAAAGTCTCTATGCCCAGCCACAGCTCTTTGGTCTCAGCCCAGGGCCTCCATGCTGCTGATGTCTACACACACACACACACACACACACACACACACACACACACCACAAGGCTGCATGTGTTGGCAGAAGACAGAGCTGTACCCAGAGAAAAGGCTCAACTCTTCCCTCTGTTGCTTAGAAGCACACACACACACACACACACACACACACACACACACACCACAAGGCTGCATGTGTTGGCAGAAGACAGAGCTGTACCCAGAGAAAAAGCTCAACTCTTCCCTCTGTTGCTTAGAAGCCAGAGAAAGGACCAAGCTTTTTCTCTGTGTCTCACCCTCCCTGGTCCTGACACATCGAAGCTATTGGTGAGTTTGCCATGATTTGGCCCTTACCAGTACCGTCTGGGCAGCCTGTCTTTGGAAATGGGCTGTGAGTCTATAGAAACCAGTAAGAGAGTCTGTGGGGCCAACTCTATGTCACTGTACAATGTATCATCCCCATCAGAGTCTTCACTGGTGCTTTGTGCCATGTCACCTCTTTATGACTTTGTTACAGAGTTGTCCTGGTAGTGACAGGCGGTATCCAATTAAGGGTGTCAGGGAGAGGGAGCATATACTCCCAGATGGAACAGAAGTCCCGGCGTCCTTCAGATTGGTGGCACCTGCTCTTGCTGCCTGAATGGCTTTTCCCCCCTTCCTCGGTGCCCATGCTCCTTAGTTTCTGGCTGTCCCTTTATCTTAACCCTACCATGCGGCATGATCCAAGCACTAACGAGAGGGTCCTGTGGGGCAAGGGCTGCGTATGAATTCCACAGTCTCTGCCAGCAAGAGCATATGAGAGAGCATTTGTGAGTATTGATGAGAGCCAAACTTCATGCCCAGAGGAGACAGAAGGGCTTCAGGTCAGCTTTGTAAGAAAGAGGGGGCTTCACCCACAGTAGGACAAGGGGTATTGGCCTCACTACTGCCTGAATGCTGGAGTTCAGGACTTCACAGGACAGATCTCTGCTTCATTCCCTAGCTGCCCTCCCCACCCTCAAATGCTGACTACCTGCCCCCATGTCATTGCCCCCCCCCCTCCCCCCGCCCCAGCCCCAGCACCCAGCATCCAGCCTCTGGACAAAGGGCATTTTCTCTCCAGCATCAGCTTTACTGCAGAAGGTGAAAAGTAAAGTCCCAGCAAAGCACATGTCTGTCCTGGTTAGTTGGCTGCCTCCTGGCAGAGTGGCACCACCCTCACCCTGTGATTGGACAGGAAGGGTGCCCTCGGGAGTTCATGCTGTGCCAGCTAACAGCCAAGTTCTTGGGCCCCTGCAGTGATGGTCCTACAAGGTGAGGGTCATCTGCCCTGTTCCACCCTGGGCAGTGTGGGCCTCAGATCCATGTCATGATGGAAAGGAAAGATGCCGTCTGCGTTTGGAGGTGGAGTGTGTGGACCTCACTGAACCAAGAAGTGTATGTGAAGCTCAAAAGACTAAATCAAACCAAATGAATAGAAAGTGCGTGCGTGCGTGCACATGTGTGAGTGTGCGCATGTGTGTGCGGTGTGTGTGTGAGCATGCGCATTCTCAATTTTTACCTCCTTCTGACTCAAACTGGTCCCAGCAAACACTGTAATTCTTTGTTTCCTTTCCTGTGGTGTTCATCCCCTCCTCCCTCCCTGTCACTGTTCACTTTCCCTTCTGTCCTCCCTGTACCCTCCTTCCTCTGGGGACCTGGCGCCCTAGCCGGGAACAACAGGCTGCAGCAGATCATAACCACAGCAGATCCCTTGGCGATCCAGGCTGATGTGCACTGGACACACATCCGTGAGAGAGAGGCGGAGGAGAGGATGCTCCCAACCTCTGAGTCCTCCACTTCCAGAGGTAACTGCTTGAGCCCCAGAGCCCAGTGTCCGTCCTGAGTACCCACTTCTAGACCCTACCGTGGCTACAGGGGTCCTGTCTGCTGGGCCACCACTGTCCTTGACTCTCCTTCAAAGATATGTAAAGTTCTCTGTGAGTTACGAGATTGCTGGCTCTGGCTCTACAGATGCAAAATAGGAGAGTGAACCTGGCTCAGAAGACCCTAGAACTCGCTATCTCCTGTGTCTCTCAGCAGGGCATTCTTTATCCCTGTCCAGAGCGCGCTGACAGAGTGGGTGTCGCATGAGTGCATGGCAGGACTAGAGAAGGGAGCGTATTTAGAAGTTAAAGTAAGGAGAAGTGCATCTCGGGGGGGCCTCTGGTGTCACTGTGTCATTGTCAACTCCGAGTTCGAGGTGAACTGCTCTGTGTTTCCCACGTAGGTGAAATGTGTTTTATTCTGGCTTCTTTCTTGTTTGTTTGTTTGTTTGTTTGAATGTCCAGTCATGGATACTGTGTATCCATGACTGGACTGGAACTTGCAGTGTAGACCAGGCTGACCTCAGATTCACAGAGACCACTCTTTACTGCCTTCTAAGTACTGGATTAGAGATGAGCACCGCCATGCCTCCCCGCCCCCTTCCTCCCTCCCTCCTTTTCTTCCTTCCTTTTCTTATTTTTTTTTGACAGTCTCACTAAGCTATCCATGCTGGCCTTGGCCTCTAGAACTGCTGGCACCACCATGTCCAGCCTCTGGCTTCTTCTAAGGAGTGTAGCAATAAAAAGAAAGCAAAGCCCATTTAGAGGTGTGCAGTTGCTTAATGTCATTCTCTTTAGCCATCTGTCTTCCACGTAGGGACCCTTGGTGGCGTCACCTTTTCTGGCTACCTGTCCCTTAAGGCTTTGAGTTTGTAGAAGATCACCAACGGTCCATGGGAAAACTTGGGCCTTCGTGTGATGTTTTAATCCTCCAGGGCATCGAGATGAACTGCAAGATGGGGACAAGGACAGCTCAGCAGTCTGAGCCAGAGCTGACCTCTCTGGAGTTCTGTCTTCTTCCCTTGTCCCAAATACCCGTCACACAGGCTAACATCGGATCACACACACATGCCACCCTGTGTCGGTGCCCGATGGCCCTGTCATGTGCCCTGGTTCCTCGTCCTCTGTTTTGAATTTTAGGACTGACTTCAGCGTTGTCTGCTGAGAACTTACCAGTGTTTAACTCTGCATTTATCATCTGTTTTAAATTCAGTGACCGGCCTTCCCTCCGTACGCCGCGCAGCAGTGCAGGCCTGGCTGGAGACTGTCTCCGGAGGTAGTCTGGTGATATGTGACACACCCCTCCCCACTCATTATAACCTCTTTCTCTAGGCAGCTCTGCTGGCATCTTAACTCTAGGACTCAGCTCCTGTCGCTGGTGCATGTGAGGGCAGAGCCAGTGGGCGGGGCTCATGCATGCTTAAGTCAGGCAGCCCGTGTGCATGGACCAGAAGTGCATCCCCCCATCCCCAGGCAGACTGGAGACCAACAGTGCAGACATGACGGAGTCGTGTCTTTTAGAAGTTACCATAGTAGTTTGATATGAAAGCCAAGGTGAAAGGAAGCTTTTTTTTTTGTTTGTTTGTTTTTTGAGACAGGGTTTCTCTGTGTACCCCTGGCTGTCCTGGAACTAGCTCTGTAGACCAGGCTTGCCTCGAACTCAGAGATCCACCTGCCTCTTCCTCCCAGCTGCTGGGATTAAAGCATCCACCGTCACCCCCTGGCTTTTTTTTTTTTTTTTTTTTTTTTTTTTTTTTTTTTTTTTTGGTGAAAAGAAGCTTTTTATGCTGACGTTTTCTATAGAAGTGAAGTTGGGTAGCAGTTGGTGAGTGAAATCAGATACTGTTCCACAAACCCACAGTGTGCCAGAGGAGCAGTCAAAACGGGAGCTCATGGAAAGTTTGCCTAAGAAGAGAGGCGAGGACGGGCGGGCACTGCTGAGTGTGCGGGTGGCACCTGAGCTGGGTCCCCAGACTACACTGCAGCGTCTCAGTACACAGGCCAAAGGTGGCCTGAGAAGCCTCAGTTGTCCTTCCTTGTTTCACTAGAACCCTGTCTCTCAAGGAGACGGGTGCCTGGTGTTTGGAGTGGGACAGACAGTCCTTACAACTGCAGGGTGTCTAGTCCTGCCTCAACAACTTCTTCCCTCAGTGCTCAACAGTCTCCTGCTTAACCCTAGGAGCCCCCCAAAAGGAGACAGAACCACCCCGGGTTGAGAACCAGTGTCCTGGCAGTCACTTCCAGGACCAGTAGGGGCGAGGCTTGTGAACCTTTATCACCATTGTCTTCACAAGCAGGTGTAAGTAGACATATGTGGTAGGAGGCCCCACCAGGGCGAGAGGCCTCGGATTCTAGTATGGCTGGCCCTGAATATCATCACCCTTTGAGCTAGAGGAAGGAGGAACGAGACCGGGGGGAAAAAGGATGCCCTAGCAGGCAGCTGAAACAAATGGCCACTCCCGGCTTCCATAGCGTGTGGCTCCTCACTCGTGTGGCCGCTTCCAGCACGGCGCTCCACCTTAACCAGAATTCCATCCCTCAGTTCCATCGCTCTAGCTGCGTCTCCGCACACATCCGCTGCTGCTGCGCAATAGCACTCTGAATGTCCGCTTTTTGATATGTGTGATCATCTTTTCTTTCAAGGTGTTCCGAGATGTTTCTTAGTAGGAAAACTGGGGGAAGACCAAGAGACCAGGACCAGCCTGGGGAACCGAGGAGCGGTCTCCTTTGGGCTGCTTCCAGAGAGAATGTGGCTGTCACCTAAATGCTAGGCACCCAAGCAAGCATGTTGTGCACAACGGCCCTCTGGAATAGGCCCAGATTCTGTTCCCAGCGGCCTCTCATTCCTCAACATGGCAGAGTGTAATGATGGACTCACCGTCCGAGTACACAGCTTAGTTTTAAAGCGGGACCCAGGGGTGTGGTTCAGTGGGTGTTTGTGTCTGCAGTGTCACACTCACACATTCTCTGGTAGACATCTTCATGAGTGGCCCAAAGCAGCATAACCACTTGAAGGTTTTAGACCTGTGAGGATACTTGAGTAGTCTTTCTCCAGTGTTTACCCCCAGAATTGTCGTCAGCAAACAAGAGTACTTTGGCACTGCCCACTCCTTGGATGGCTCCAGTGTCTCAGAAAGACCGGGTGGTGAAGTTAACTGTCCAGCAGCCGCCGCTCCCTAAACCCTGGGCTGTCTGCTGTTCTCCAGGCTTGTTTGCCATAGTTCTCCAGTTTCAACTTTGAAAACATTCATCTGGGCATGGTGGCACACACCTTTAATCCTTTCACTCGGGAGGCGGAAGTAGGCAGATCTCTTGAGTTCAAGGCCAGCCTGGTCTACATAGCAAGTTCCAAGCCATCCAGAGGTACACAGTGAAATCCTGCCTTTAAAAAATTAATTAATTAATCAATCAATTAATTAATTCTTCATAGATGTGAACTATGGCATCTTATGAATAGTGTATTGAGTAAGTATACAAAAAAATTGTGCAATGTAGGGAATTAAATCAAAACTCACAGAGCTGCCTCCTCTTATGTCAAGAAATACCCCTCCCCCGTATCCCTCCCTAAGGGAGCCACTTTCTCAAGTTTTGTCATCACCTGAGCTCAGTGGCCCATGCTGACTTGGGGGCAGAGCCAGTAGGTTGGCCTGGCCTCTCCCTAGTTCAACTCAGATTTGAGACAGTCTAGATATACTTTGATGCCTTACTCCAAGTAAATCAAAAGCATTGCCCTCAGGCTGACAGCACCCCCAGGCAGAGCCTCTGTCCTCCGGGTCTCCAGCTCTCCCGCTCTCCCTCTGTACTGGCTGCAGATTCTCCGCAGTCAGTCACAGGGTAGGCCCAGGTGTTATAAAGCTCAAGACCTGTCTGCCTCAGGGTGGATGAAGTGAATAAGTGCTTGCTTTAGTTTGCAGCCCTGAAGAGCCATTCTTGAGTCAAGAAAGGGAACTTTGCATATTCCCTCACATCCTTCCTCTTGCTCTAACAAACTCCTCTAAGCTGTCTCAAGAAAAGCCCCCAGCCTCTACATGTGCTGATACAAACAACAGCAGAGCCCGTTGTGAGTCACTTGACCCTCAGGCCTAGGCTTTGTCACCTAGAGGTGTCCACAAGGAACAGGTCCCTCTGGCTGCCTCAGAATTAGGAGTAGCTACCTCATGGCACATGAAGTGGCCAGCACTGGGCCTGTTATGTAAGTAATATAAGTACTGTTAAAGGCTGCCAAAGGCCACACAGCATCCCTTGATTATGACTGACTTGAGGATCTCATAGCAGCAGCCTCTGGGGGAAAAGGTGTTGCCTCCAAGCCAGAAGCTGCTCCTCAAGTTCCACTTGGCCCTACGAGAGTGGAGAAATGGCCATGACACCCACGCTGCTTATAGAGCGCTCTCCATATCTGTTCGGGGACTGCCTTCTCCCCAAGGCCTATGCATCACTACCTTCTTGCGCCCTGCACAGTTATTTGTCTGTCTGTCCTTTTCTTCCCGTCCGTGAATGTGTCTGCCTTACAGCGCCTTTGGACGAGAATGACCTAGAAGAGGACGCAGACTCGGAGCCAGCAGAGACTGAAGGAGAAGCGGCAGAGGATGGGGACCCTGGGGACACTGGTGCTGAGCTAGATGGTATGGAGCCCAGCCTTCCTTCTGCACCTCAGTGACCTCCTGTGGTACATGGGGGACAGAACCAGAGTGGGCAGAACTCACAAAAGATACTTTACAGGAAAAGTTTAGGGGGCAACTGGGGTGGGGGCAACTCTGGGGCTGGCAAAAGGAAAGGGAAGATGAGTCCACAGATACCCCCCCAAAGGGTTTTGGTGGTGGTAGTGGTTGTTATTGTGTTGGTGGTGGTGGTTTGCCTTCTATCACAGCCTCTTGTGTCGTGGTCACTGAATTTTACAAGTGGACAGATGGGATGGGGAGATGGCTCAGTGGGCAGAGAACCTGCTACACAGGTCATACTGCCTGAGTTCAGCACCTAACACCCTTGTAAAGGCCGCCACAGAGGAAGGTGGAGACAGGCCAACCGCAGGGGCTCACTGGCCAACCAGTTAAGCTGAAAGGCAAGCTCCAGGTTCAGTGCAACCTTGTCTCAAAAAGATGAGGTGAAGAGCAATGGGAAAAACCCAGTACCAACCTCTGGCCTTCACACAGGTGAGGACAGACAGACAGACAGACAGACAGACAGACAGACAGACAGACAGCGAGACAGACAGACACATACACACACACACACACACACACACACACTCACTCTAACACATTCAACACACAACAAAAGCATAAGCACCACAGGTTTCCACAAACCCCACACTCAGAAAGCAAGACAAATGCTTTGTGCCAGATTAGTCTCTGGTAAGAGGTTTGGTTTGTGAGGGCTGCGCACCTGGTTTAGACCTCATGCTACAGTGGGTCACCCCACTAAGCAAATCTCTAAGGAATCAGGACACAGAAAGGGAACACTGCCCAGGCTCAAAATGTGCAAAAATCTGTCTTGCCTGCCTCCCCCAGATCAGCACTGGTCCGATGACATCCCTTCGGACGCCGAAACGGAACTTCGCTTGCAGTGCCAGGCCAAGGTGAAAGCTGAGCTGGAGCTGAGAGTGTCAGAAAGTGAGGAAGAGAAGCCGCCTGATACACCAAAGCAAGAGGAGAGAGGTAGGGGGCAGGAGGAATGACTCCGAGAATTACAGGGGCATGCTGGTAATACCAGATGAGACCATCAGAATAGCGCCTATCGTGCCTAGCCCTGTGGGTGGCCAGGAGCCCCACTATCCCTGTCCTGGTCCTTGCCTGTCTGGGGCCACAGATCTCTGCAGACAGCCTCAGCCAGGGGCACCTTTTCTTGGGTTGTTTGGGAGCATGAGAAGAATAAAGACATGATACAAAGCTCAAGGCCCAGATTATAGCCACCACACATGATGACCAGAGTGCCAGCTACAGGAGCCTGCAAGGTACAGGCAGTGCCACCTTGAGTCCCTTTAGTTGTTTTTTTTTTTTTTTTTAAAATACCCTGGGGGAAGAAAGAAAACTGAAAA